TACATATTCACGTTTGTATTCCTAACGAAAGCCTTTTCTATATTTTAACAAATTATGTATATTTCTTATCAGCAAGTAGAATGAATTTTTTATGAATGGTTTGCCCATATTTAGCGGGGTGCATTCGAAAACATCAAAATTCCAAGCATCAGTCTCTTTTCTAAACCGAAAGAAATGAAAAAGTTGTAACCGTTCCCACGACAGTCGGGTCTACGTAACCGGAACGACCCAGATTTATATCTGGCCAAGGACTGTCACTCCAGCAACACTCCCCAAAATGTCTTTGGGGAATTTGTATGTTGCTACAACAACAAAAAGTCGTAACTTGAGCAATCTAGTAGAATACTAGCATATCACCATGGCTGCGCACATTTTGTATTCTGATGTTAAGCTAAACAATCCCGAATCTTCTATCGCTATATCCTGGCAATCTAAGTTCTATTGCTTAATTGGACCGGACCAGACGCGCCATTGTTTGCTTGTCAAGCTAACGGAAAATCACATTTCTTCTTCAAATGTTTTTCTTTAGTCATCGACACATCCACTGCTTCTTAAGCCAACAAAAAACAGCACGAAATTGAAGTTTTCACCACTTATATTAAAAAATCTGTATTTTTTTCTGATTTCAATTTTTATACTCTACGCATGATACGCGTATGAACCATAAAAATACACACAAAAATAATAGTGCATTTTTGATAAAGCTTACAAACGGCGACCACGACGACCACCCTTCCTACGTGTAGAATCTGATGGGATAGGTGTCACATCCTCAATGCGACCAATTTTCATTGAAGAACGAGCCAAAGCACGCAACGCAGATTGAGCACCTGGTCCGGGAGTTTTGGTCTTATTACCACCAGTTGCACGCAATTTAATGTGTAGTGCAGTGATGCCCAGAGTCTTGCACTTTTCAGCGACATCCTGAAACGACGAGAATACATTAGTACCAAATGGTTTAAAATAAATGTATGCTCCACAACTTACTTGAGCAGCCAACATAGCAGCGTAGGGTGAAGCTTCATCACGATCGGCCTTTACTTTCATACCACCAGTGACGCGAGCAATGGTTTCACGCCCCGACAAATCGGTTACATGGACGAAGGTGTCGTTGAAACTGGCATAAATGTGAGCGACGCCAAAAACATATTCACCATCACGAACTTGTGGGCCCAACGACACTTGGACTTCTTCCTTTTGAGCTTTAGCCTTTCTGGGAGCCATTTTTATATGGTTGGATCAACTGCAAGTGGATAGAACACAACAAAATTATTAAAATTGTATCACGAAGAATAGTCGCAGTATTTTCACTGAATATTTTTGTCGATGAATTTGTTTGTACAGTGCAAAAGAGCCAAAGGAACACCCCAATCTATCGCAACATACAATAGACGTTTCATTAATTAGCTAGCATCCATCACTACAGTCCAATTGATGGGAAAAGATGTGTCCCATTATCTTAAGAAACATTTGTTCTAAGTTCAAACACACAACTTTTATAAACAAATTCACCGATTTAGTAAATATTTAACAAAATTTCAAAAAGCTTTAATAAAACACCAACCAATTGCGTTAACCGGATATTAAAAAAGAAAGTTCAGCAGTTTTAAGCTGTCAAAAGTGTCAATGGCATGCCGAACTGTCAAAACTGCTGGAAAAGTGCTAGCATGGCCCACGGTTGCTACGAAAACGGCTTAATGTACTATTGAAGAATCCCAAACCGTTCCAGCGCACATTCAGGGTAAATTCACCTACTGCCTTTTTTGCTTGTGGCAAATAACAGTTAATCATGTAATCAAGGCGTATTTAACAAGGTGGTGTTGGCCGTATATAAGTAAAANGGGTTGCTACGAAAACGGCTTAATGTACTATTGAAGAATCCCAAACCGTTCCAGCGCACATTCAGGGTAAATTCCACTACTGCCTTTTTTGCTTGTGGCAAATAACAGTTAATCATGTAATCTAGTTGGCAATTTGCTATGAAGAAATGCGGTCGTTAATATTAGGTTTATTGAGTTGAAAAAAAAAACCAACTAAACATTTAACTCAATTGCACCTCTGCGTTAGTGAATTCGCCGTAGAATCGAATCAATAGTTATCTCCCTTGCACAGTCTGTTATCACTCAGAGTCGTTCGCATTCACACTCACTGCAAGAAAGCGCGAGGGAGAAGGCAATTTTCCTTTTCCACAATTGCATCGATAATCAACAGCCTTACCACTATCGCAATATTCTATTTTCCCATCAACAATTATATGCAACTAAATTTCTACATTCTTCGATAACTGCTTCCTTTCAAATCATTTGAAAAACCTTTTTCTCGCTTAGATATTTAATTGTGCAAGTAGCATTTCGTTTAAAGCAACGCACTATATATGTACGTATATGGAATAGGCAAATTTTACATTCCCAATTGTATTGGAGATTTGTGGACATTTTCTCTAGCAATTTTACCACACCGTTTATCCGTGCTGGTAGCACTAGACAACCCTGCGAGTGTGTGTGTGCGTTTTGTGTTCCAAAAGAAATTTTGTGTGTGAAAATTTGGCGATGAAAAATTGGGATTTTGATTAAATTTTCGCATAGAAAAATAGAAATATGTGTAGAAAACTATTATATTCGGCGAAAGGAACATACATGTGTTAAAAAAAAGTGTGAAATGGTGAAATGAAGCATCAAATCTAACCGAGTGGTTAACTCGACTGCTCCGCCTAGCATTGTCAGGGGATTTGGTTCATATAACTTTCGGTGGTAAAATTGAATAATTTCCTCAGCAAAGACTAATTTAAAATCCAAAATCAGTTCTGATTCTGATCTGAGGAAAAAGTATATCTCTACAATTCGTATTTATCCAAAAGTAATATTGTGTGAAGTTACATACATATTTTAGTAATGAGACTCCACTGGCCATAGAATTGGGAAGGGGCGCTTGGAACTTGGAAGTGAATTTTAATGTGAAAGAAAGCAAAAGTGGTGGAAGCATAGAAAAAGCAGAAAAAAGACTGGTTATGCAGCGAAAAGAAGACAACACAAGGCGAAGAGCTTGTGATAACAACAACAATAAACACAACGTAAACAAGAACAAAGTTATGATTAGGGCGAATTGAAATGTTAAAGCACGATTGATAATAGGAAAAGGTGTGAAAGAAAAGCAAACGAAAAAGATCTTGAAAGAAAATCGAAAAGACGAGCAGCTGGTGGCTCAGTCTTCACTGCTGCTGCTCTGCTTTTTGAACTGGTTGTTGGAGACTACAACAGCGCTGCTTTGTGTCATCGTCGACGCACTCACGACCAGCGTTATTGAACCCATCCGTATCGTTGGTTTCTGTTGAGTTGGGCTGTCGCGGTTATTACTCGCTGCCTGCAATCCCGTTTGGTCGGTTCTCGTTTTGTTTTGCATCAACCTTCGTGTTATTGTCGTCCCTTGCTCAGAGTTTAGGTGGGGGCCAGTCGAATAACCAAAAAGGAAATCAAATACCCCCAACATTAGTGAAAGGCCGCGCAGACATCGAGGACGTGCTTGTAAAATTGCATCAACAACGGGCTCGCTTATGGAGCTCATCGTCTGGGACTTGAAAACAAAAGAATAGCAAATAAGTGTAGAAAGACTAAATAATTAATACCGTGGTGGTCTGTCAGTATCGTCGCCGAAGTTGTACGGGATTTCTTGTCGGTAATTATTTAAAGAAACGGATTCAACACAATATTATTTGCTTATTGTAAAATAAATGTACATACATACATAATTATAAGAAAACTTAACTAAGTGAGTAGAATTTCGCCTTTACTAATGGTTTTACGCGAAGACACATGCGCACACACACAAAAATGCATACATTCATCAACTAACACATAATCGTACGAAAAAGTTAAATCATCCGTCGTGTCGCGTACAAAAAAAAAAACTAAGTAAATTAATAATTAATCACGTACGCCACCCGCACAATTTTGAGAAAAATTTCTCAGACATACATATATAATAAGCATAGTACTATTACGATAGCCCTTGTTGTATAAAATACCAGCATCCTGGCGAATCGCAGCGGTAACAACGGAAACGGTGGTGGTGGTGGTGGTAGTGGCGGCGGCAATAACGCTGCTGGTGGTGGAAATGCTGCAGAGGGATCGCGACGTAATGGCGCTGGCGGTGCCGCTGCAGCCGCTAACGTTGCGGCAGCCGCTAACGTTGCAGGAGGTGCTGGCGAGCAAGGCGCCGCAGCGGGTGCCGGAGCAGCAGAGTGGAACCCAGAAGAAATTGATCGTTTTAGTTTTGACGATTCGGATCGCTTCGAAGAAGATTCGCTTTGCAGTTGGAGTTCAGAACCAGAATCGCTATGCAACAATTGGCGTGGCTGGAAGAAACCTTCTAGTTTCGGTTTGACCAATCCGATTGCCGCCAGTGCTAGTTCCACACCAGCCGCCATTAGTGCGCCCCGCAAAAGTGAAGCAGAAGGTGGTAAGTTAATATGTATTATTTTTATGAACATATGTAGGTACAGTATCGGTCATATCTATAGCACGCCATTTCAAAGTGATATTGTGTGCCACTTATGTTTATTTATTTATTTTTAAGAATTTTCAATTAAAATATAGTTCTTTCTCTAACAATACCCATATAAACCCAAGTTTAACAATTTGTAGAATACTACAAAAAAGTGCAAAAAATTTTCATATAAATTTCAAACTTTTTTCTCGGAAGTGTTAGAATTTTTCTGAATACACAGTTTTATAGCCCAATCAATTTTAGTCTGATAATGTGCAAGTTTCAAGTGGCTAAAGGTTACCGTTGATTTTTTAGAATTTTTTTCGCCAAAGGTGTTGCGGTTTTCTTCCATATACAAATAAATTGAGTTTATTCATTATATGGAAGCCAATGCGACAAAAAAAAATTCTAAAAAATTAACGGTAATTCGTAGCCACTTGAAATTTGCACATTATCAGACTAAAATTGCAGGGGCTAAAAAACTGTGTACTCAAAAAAATTCTAACACTTCCGAGAAAAAAGTTTGAAATTTAGGTGAAATTTTGTTGCACTTTTTTGAAGTTTTCTACAAATTGTTAAACTTGGGTATATATGGGGTTTGTCTGAGAATGAACTAAATTTTAATTGAAAATTCTTAAAAATAAATAAATAAACATAAGTGGCACACAATATCACTTTGAAATGGCGTGCTATATATATGACCGATACTGTATGTACAATATCGGTCATATTAATAGGACAGCCTTTTCAAAGTGATATTGTTTACCGCTCAAGTTTATTTACATACATATGTATTTATTTTTACGAATTTTAAATTAAAATATAGTTCATGGGACCTTATGAATAAAATTTAAGCGATTGCTTTTTCTTAAAATTTTTGACCTTTGACTCGATTTATTCAAACAAATTACGGTAAAAGGTCTGAAATTTTAAGAAAAACAATTGCTTACTTATTTTTTATTCTTTTCATTCATTTTTCGGTGTACCTATACCGTTTTTATAGAGCATTAACTGTTATGTGAAGTCGGTAAATATTTACACTTATAAGTTAGTTAAAGGATTTCAAAATCAAGCAGAATTTATTTATGGCGTTTTAGTTTCTTCAAAAAATGTGGCCTTTTCATTGCCCTCTCCTTACCGTTTGTTCAAAGAGGGCAATGAAAGGGCAAAATTTTTTGGTAGACACGAAAACGGCATTAAAAATTAGAAATTGCTGAAGTCATAATCCGAAGGTAATAGAGAGGCCTTGGCGCTTAATCCCCCGTTTGGTTTTGGCTAATGTCTCTGTAGTTAAATGGATAAAACACCGTACACAGTACCAGCGACAACTTATTCAACTGCGGCTCTGAGTTTTGGCAATATCGATCTGGGGATCTTGGACAATCCAGGCTGATTTGCATTTCAAAGCCATGTCTTCATTTCGTTCCCTTCCACATACATTGTATTCTGCTAATGTACATATCTCTGAAAAAGCCGAAAGTATGACGTTGTGGTGCTCAAAAATGTCAACCCGAAATTTCTAAACTATTTTCGTCTGTACTACTTTGGATTCTTAACGCTTTCCATGCAGCTTGGTAGTTGAGATAATGTCTTTCTCGAATAGAGTCTATATATATATGTATGTTTTCGCTATAAAAAATGTTGATGACTTTGTTTTGTTCGACTTTCCTTATCCATTTCATAGGCCTTTCGATCCAAAAACAGACAGTCGATTTAGCAAGTCTTCTGAATGATTCAGTGCCTAATTTTATTGTAAATCGCTCGATACTTGCCGCATTTGGCAATGTGTTTTCACATATTTCACGACAAATGCTTTTTAGTTTGCCGTAGTGAAAATAGTCTTTCTATAGAGCAGGTCTTTTCCTGAAAGACGACGCACTCGTAAGTTGCCTAACCTAAGGATCCCTCGATTAGACACAGAGTCCGGCGAAATCCGCAATTTTTACTGTTCGGTTATATGATAATGATATGTTTTCGGTAAGCCTATGTCCTTCCTTAGTTGAAATTCATGAAAAAGTTATGAACTGGACATACTAGAAAGACTTAAAATGATTCGAGTCAGCTTTAAACCAAACTAGTTATTTTGTACTCTCATATGTTCACCCAAGATCGGTGCGGGTCTATAGTCACTTTGCCTGCACTATTTTGATTCTTTAAATTTAAGGCTTCTTTTTTCAGCTGCTCCTGTGACGTGTGTAAGTTGAAGGCTCAACCTTATCCTGCTTCTCACAGCGCTCAATTTACCGAGGCTTACGAATTTCTGCAATCTTCCGAATATGTTTTGACTGCGATTTTTTCCAGTTTACCCACTAGACTAGAGCTCCAAAGGTGGGAGGACTATAATGTACGTAAAAGTAGTTCCTATTACCCAAGACTATTTTTCAATTTATTGTGTAACGATTTTCCGTCATCCCTTGTCAAATTTGGTTTCGGCGTTGTGTCATCTTCATATCCACCTCTACCCTGTCGGAAACACCAAGAACGAAACCTAGCTGACCCACACATATTTGCTGATTTCTAGGAAAGCAATGGAGCTACTAAATTAGTTTTAGTGGCGTTGAGGAACACCTAAAAGACACCTAATTCCTAGCTAATTTTTATTGATTTTTGGCGACTTGGGACAGCTAGGTTTACGGACGTCCGTTTATCGATAATAATCAAGCACTAAAAGGTCAGAGTTCTCAAACCGCGGCCGGAAAAATGTACTCCTTGAAGGGGCAGTCAACTTTGGATTAGGTTATTAAACCCCCAAAAGGAAGAGGTTGGTTCCGAATATCAATATTAAGCTTTTATAGATATTTCCGGTGTCGCTTGCCTGCCTCAGAAAATCTGATTGATCTTGAATCACGTCGCTTCTAGACACTTCTAAAGACTCTCCCTCTCTACCGATGATCTGGGAAGCGAGTAAATCCCTGACGCAGGCAGAGATATTGAGTTGGTACATAGCACCCCGAGTAGTGACTGAGGTGTCAGTGAGGCTATCTCTTGTCTCTTTTGATGACTTCAAGTGACCTGACCCACATATACACGCCGAAGATACTAAAATGTGGGTTAAGAAAAGCTTAAACGTTTTAAGGTGCTGTCCGGACCACATGTTCACTCTTGCGAAAAAATTAGTATGACCTTAATTCCTAAACTTCGGGTAGATCAGCCGAACAATCCACATTCTAGAGAGCATGGAGCGCAAACTGAAACTGATCGAGTGGTGGGTTAGTACAAAATGGTATTCTTCGCTTATGTTGAGGTTTGTTTGGCAATGTTATATACAGTTAACTACATATCCTCGAGCGGCTAGATTAGAAGGAATATATGAAACAGTTATAAAATAGATCCACTATATGTTCGTTCCCACGACAGTCGGGTCTACGTAACCGGAACGACCCAGATTTATATCTGGCCAAGGACTGTCACTCCAGCAACACTCCGCAAAAACTCTTTGGGGAACTTGTATGCTGCTACAACAACAACAACAACATCCACTATATGTTATCTAGAGAGAGGAAGATGGCGGCAGAAATTGAGAAAGGATACCTTTGGACGTGTGCACTTTTGCGCCGCCAATCACTTCCCATTGAGGAAAATGCGATTTGTGGCTTGGCGGAAAAGATTCATGAAATATACGAGAGCAGTTTGATAAGTCAATGACTTTTTTGACTTAAACATTTTTTCCCGGCAAAAAAATTTATGTATTTCTCAACATAACCTTTTTTTGCTACGTATGTACATTTAGTTCAGTTCAGTTCTTTTTCAATATTTATATCCTTTCCAAATAATAGAAATCCGCAAGGATCTACATAGACATTACCTCTTTATCCAACCAAAATCGTTTACCACCAAGCCATTTTTTAGGTTTGAAAACAGGAAAAAGTTGGAGGAGGTTTAATAGGGAGAATATACTGGACGAGGTGTAAGTAGCTCATGGCTTAAGAAATTAACTTTTTTCAATTTTCGTCGAAAGTCACGAGGTTGGTCTGCTTTCAATGACTGTCAAACATAACACAAATGACGCAGTTTTTCAAAATTTGACAGTTGACAGAAACAGTGTTGCATTTTAAATTACTACGCGGTTTGGTTTTCCGCTGACTTCACAGTGGCGAATATATAAATAGGGAAAACACATTTTTGTCGTTTATTTAGTGTTTATTATTTTCTTATGAAAGTGCAGTTCGTTATCATACGAAAAGCATGTCATGTGCAAATTTTAAGTACCTAGGACTTACCGTTTATTTTGGCAATTATTTTTGTGGAAGCTTTTGCTCATGTTTCCATACAAAAAGATATGTATAGAAGAAAATATGTAAAAAATATTGCCAAAAATTAAAGGTAAGTCCTAGCAACTTCAAAATTGCACTTTATTATAGTAAAATGTAATGGCCTACAAAACTGCATACTCAAAAACATTATAAAACATCTGATTAAAGAGTTTAAAATTTTGATGAATATTTGTTAAATTTCGTCGAATTTTACATGGTTTGTTTAGATAATAAGTGAGCTATATTTTCATAAAGAAATTAAAAAATTTTTAAGCCAAGAAAAAATAGCTAAAGCTAGCTAGCTTGTCTCTTTACAAATCGGCTATGATATTTTGGGTATCGGCAATTACCTTTTTTCACTTTACTTTAAATAACAGTTGCACCTATGCTTATAATCGTGAAGATCCATGAAATATACCAGATCAGTTTGATAAGTCAATGACTTTTTTGACTTAAACATTTTTTCCCGGCAAAAAAATGTATGTATTATTCTCGCCACCATGTCTATGGGCAGCTCATTTGAAGAATAAGAAGGATACTTAGCAAAGATTGTGGCCTTAAAAAAAGTTCGAAAAACACTAGCTAACGTAGCTGATGTAGCCGCCATATATAAAGGGTGTTACATATAGTGTTTTTTTGTAATCATATATTNCCCTAGCTATAACGTAGCTGATGTAGCCGCCATATATAAAGGGTGTTACATATAGTGTTTTTTTGTAA